CTGGAGAGATCCCAAACGTGGCTGGTGTGACCCTGGGCACCCTGCTGGGGGTGAGCTGCTGGAGCAGGGGGTGGGATGAGATGATCCCCAGAGGTCCCCTCCAGCCCCACCATGCTGGGGTTCCATGATTCTTTACTCTCTCTATTAAAAATGACCCTAAGAACAAAGCCAAAAGTCACATTCTTGCATATTCTGCATCTTGAAAACGTCAGCATTAAGTTTCTCAAGCCATTCCCTCTCCCTGTGTGCTTGGTGATTCTGACTTTAATTACCTAGTAACACACCACTGAACTATCTGATGGGTTTTTTTTCCCCTCCTAGAAATACAAGTGACATTTAAAAAGGCAGCTTGGTCCTGGTTACAACTGCTGCAGGGGGAGCAGAAGACTAGTGGCAGAGAGCTCTTCACTCTGCTGGGCAGGAACACCATGAGGTGTCTGGCCATTGAGGATAGATTCATTCAGAGAAGAAATAGAGCATGATTATTTTTAACAAAGACAGTAATTAACCACTGGAACGATTCAGCAAGAGCTCCCCACAGCTGGAATGGTTTTAATTAAAAGATGCTCTAACGGAACCCCAGATCTCAGGCTGGAAACAAGAAGGAAGTCAGGGAAATCCCAGAGCTGATGTGATGAGGGGAGTCTGACTTAGATGATCACAGTAGTCCCTCCAGGCCCTGAAATCTATTAATCCTGCACAGCAGTGTGCTACTCTACTCAAGGAAGACAAAGAAAGTTGAAAGAGGCACGTGGAATGAGCCTAGAACTCTTCACAAGGTGCTGTTTACAACTTGTAGGAAACCCAAAGCTTCTTATTTATCTTTTGAGAAGCTGTAGGTTGATGGTGTTGTGGACGTGTCCTCCATGTTCTTCTGCTGAAATAATAAAGCCAAGGAATCAGAGGATGGGAGGAATTTGAACAGCTGTCATTTATTGTAAAGAATTTGGATTCCAGGAATGCTCACATCAAGCAATGGGATCTTGTATCGTTACTGGAGGCAACACTTCCTTGGGGAAGAAAAGGTGATGGAGGAATTCTGCAGCTTGCAAGAGTAGAACAGGTCGTGTGCCTGGAGAAGGAATGTGTCAAACTCTGTTGAGGAGAAGGGTTCTGTCATCACAGCCCTGCCTGGACATCATTCTTCACAGGGAGTGTGACCTTGAGCAGGAGTAAGAACCTTTCTGCTACGTCCTGATAAATTTTGAATCTCTAGTCACCAAGCATATTTGATGGAATTCCCACCTTCCAAATGGTTATTGATGGTAGTGGATTTGGAGTATCCACCAGTGTCAATAAACCCTCCTGGGAATCGAGCAGAATGTCACCACCCAACAGGTCCAGATGAGGAATTTTAAACTGTGTTTTTAGTGTATTGTGTAAATCAGCTTCTTGTGTTAATGCTGTCTAACCTTAACCAGTGGCTTGGGCCAGCACTGGTGTGGCCAGCAGGAGCAGGGCAGGGATCGTCCCCCTGGGCTGGGCACTGGGGAGGCTGCCCCTCCAATCCTGGGGGCAGGTTTGGGCCCCTCCCTCCCAGAAGGCCCTTGAGGGGCTGGAGCGTGGCCAGAGAAGGGCAACGGAGCTGCTGGGGAAGGGTCTAGAGCCCAAGTGTGGGGAGGAGCAGCTGAGGGAGCTGGGGGTGCTGAGCCTGGAGCAAAGGAGGCTCAGGGGAGACCTTCTGGCTCTGCACAGCTCCTGACAGGAGCCTGGAGCCAGGGGGGGGTCGGGCTCTGCTCCCAAGGGACAAACAGGACAAGAGGGCAGGGCCTCAAGTTGCCCCAGGGGAGGGGGTTGCCCTGGAGGGGTTTTCAAGCCATGGAGATGTGGTGCTGAGGGACAGGGGTCAGTGAGGGCAGTGCTGGGGGAACAGTTGGATTTGGTCATCTCAAAGGTCTCTTCCAGCCAATTCTATGATTCTATGACTTTTCTCTATGTGTTGTAGGTGTCACCACTCTGCACAGTGAGTAAAAATCCCTTTGGTCTCCCAAGGGTTCTGCTGCTGTCTTGCTTTAAAATAGTCTAGTGGGTGGAACACTGAACCCAGAGCTGGTCTTCATTTCACAGTTTAGAACAGCACCTATGTACAGACACGAGCCACTCTCTTAATTTATTAGGTGTATCTGTTATTTCTTTTGTGAAGATAGCACTCCACAGGAGAATTACAAGATGGAATTGCATTATTACCTTAGTGCTTCTGAAACATCTAGCCCCATTCTATAAATATAGTCTATAATGGATAATGGAGCTGGTTTGCTGAACTTAAAATAGGAGTAAAGCAATTACTTAGCAATCTTTTTTCCTCCTTGCTTGTGCTGGGTGGTTATCATCACTTTTTACAGAGCTAGTTGTTAGGGAAAAGGTAAAAGAAGTTGAGTGTTTTCTGGTACTTGTGTTCACCTGCCTGAAATCACAGAAAATGGAAGCTAAATGCACAATAGGTAGTTTTCTTCCACTTTCAAAATTAAATGTAAAGCTATTTATTAGTTAAAAATAACTGGCTTTGAAATGATCTCAACTATTTCTGACATCTTATCCTGTGGCAAAATCTTCAGACCTAGCTGAGATTTAAATGGGGGAGTCCACGGTTGCATTCCATTTATAGCTGTCTCAATAAATTGCTGGACCCTCCAAAGGGCAGAAATGCTTTTTAGTCTGGTATTTACAGCTGGAAGTGGAAATTTTAGGATCTAATCCTCTCAGCGTGGAGAAAATGGAGGACTTTGTATTTTTGGGCTCTTTTTTTTGGGGGGGGTTATTTGTGTTCCGTGGACTTTAAGGATCTCGGTGCTTTTCATTGTCTTGAATTGAAGAGTTCTTTGCAATTTCCACCTTCATCTGGCAAGGCCATGAGAAGCCAGCAAGATTATGTGCAGGTTCATGCTCATCTTCTGATCCTGCTCATTAAATTATCACCATCTCTGCAATAGCTTTGGGAAACTCTTAACCAAATCCCAGCGACAGCGTAACTGCAAGAGGGAGCTTCAGAAAAGGCTATAAATCCAAAAAGATTATCCTAGACATCACATTATTCCTCTTGCAAAAGAGACCCAGGGGTTTTTAATGCAGTTTTGTGCTATTTTTATGTTTAGAGTGGATCAAGCTGAGCACACACTTCCCCCAACTCCTGTGTGTGCTGGGAACAACGTGAGCAGTGTGACAGACAGAGGAGAGGAGTTGCAATGATGATAAAATCTCTGCAGAAGCTGCATAGAAAGTTGCTCAAGGCTTTGTTTTGTAGGTAATGACTCTTGGTTTGCTTTTCTTGCAGCACTTTACCTGGTCTTGACACTCCCTACCCCATGCTGGTGTTGGTTGGCCCTGTAGCCTGTGGGAAGAGAGAGCTCACTCATAAGATCTGCAGACAGTTCAACAATTTCTTCAGATATGGGTGAGTTTCCTCCATAAGTTTAAAAAAAAACTCAAATGATCCAGGCTAGAATTGCTGCTGGTTTGGTTTTTATTGTGGTTTTTTTATTAAAGAAGTTAAAAGCTAATGACAACCAATAAATGTTCCTTACTATGCATTTTATCTCTTCCCCGGGGCTTGATTGCCTGAAGTCATCAAATACTTCCTTAAAAGAAAAGCTGTTTAAATTACCCTGTTCTTTTCAAAGGTGAAGAGCAAACAAACAATCAGAAATGTGTCAGTTAGTGCTTCTTTCATCGATCTGTTCTACTCCTGCTCACTAATGCCCCTCAACCTCAGCATCTGTTCAGCTAGATACGTGTTTCTCTTCATTTCTGTGAGGTAGCTGCCTGTAAACACCTCAGCCTGTGTGAGATTCTGAGCCAGGAGCTCAGAAAGGAACCCAGTGCAGTTGCTGGACCAGTTTATTATCCTGTGAGTAGTGTTATCAAAGCAAATGGCACCTTTCAGGCTTCACCACCTGCTGAGAGGACTAATTCTCCCTCTCTGAAAGGTCTGAATTAGGATCCTTGCTGCCTTGGGCTCCCTGTGTGCTTAGTAGAGAGAAACTCTCTCTCTATCCAAGGGAGATGCAGCCTTTCTGGGTTGCAGCACACAGTGGATGGGAAGTCTGGCTGAGTGAGATCACCACTCTCTGCTCCCAGAAATTAGGTGCTGCAAGCTGCTCCTCTTGTCCACCCACTCCAGGCTTCATGGTACCTGAACTTCACAGCTCCTACAGCAGATGCTGTCCAGCACTGCTCTGTATCCCTGCAGCATTCTCTCTCCTCTGTTTTCTCAGATCTTTTATTACATGAAATTATCCATTCATATTTAATCAGACTTTGGTCACAGAATTATTTCAGTTAGAATAGACCTCTAAGATCATGGAGTCCAGCCCTTCCCCAGCACTGCCAGGTCCCCACTGCCCCGTGTCCCTCACCCCACATCTCCACGGCTTGGAAACCCCTCCAGGGGTGGGGACTCCACCACTGCCCTGGGCAGCCTGGCACAGGCCTCCACAGCCCTCCAGGGCAAGAAATTGTTCCCAAAATCCAACCTCAACCTCCCCTGGGGCAACTTGAGGCCCTTTCCTCTTGTCCTGTCTGGGCCTTCTGGGAGGGAGGGGCCCAAACCTGCCCCCAGGATTGGAGGGGCAGCCTCCCCAGTGCCCAGCCCAGGGGGACGATCCCTGCCCTGCTCCTGCTGGCCACACCAGTGCTGGCCCAAGCCAGGATGCTGGTGGCCTTCTTGGCCCCCTGGGCACACGCTGCCTCCTCTCCAGCTGCCTGTCCCCCAACCCCCCAGGGCCTTTCCCTGGGGCACTTTCCAGCCCCTCTGCCCCAGCCTGGAGCTGCAGGGGGGTGTGGTGACCCCAGGGCAGGACCCGGCCCTTGGCCTGGTTGAACATCAGCCCATGGGTCCAGCCTGGCCAGAAAGGGACCATTACCACATGCAGATGTGAGAACAGTTCCTTGGAGCTCTTGGCTTCCCAGGAGCATGCTCTGTGTGTTGATGGGATGTCTAGTAGTAGCCTTCTTCTCAAACATGATACACCAAGGTGGAGGAGCCTCCATATAATGCTCTCTGCTCTGTGCTCCACTGAGAGCCACTGGCTGGGTGAGACCATGGAACTGGGAGGCTGAGAGGACACATAAGAAGAGTTCTGTGGAGGTTATGTGACTGGAAAAACCACTTTTGGCCTTCCTTTAAAGCAGCTACTGTGTTTTGAAAGACTAGATGGGAAATTACAAGCTAATTGAATGCCAATTGAAATTCCCCAAGTGCTGTGTGTCTTTTTAAGAACATTGGTTTTATATTGTGGATTTTATTTCCTTAAAAGTTTTATGCACGAGCAGGAAAAAAAAAGAAGTGAGAGAGACAGAATCTTAACAGAGCAGAAAATTGCAACCATAAAGCAAAGTTGTCTTTTAATTATTCAGTGGAGATTTAAGCAATTTTATGGCTTACACTTTTAAATTTCAAACATTCCACTCATTAAAAATGTATTTCATGGCAAGCTACCCTGGCAGCCTGAATGTAAACATGGCCTTGCCATTCAAAAGGGTTGTCACGTTTCGAAGTGTTGCAAAAAACAAAGTGCAATTGGACCCTCAAACCATCTGGCTGGTGCTCAGGAGTGACCTTTAAAGCTGGATGGGTTCCTAGTGTCTTAAAGAAAAGCAGGTCTTTGAAGTGTAGTTTTACAGCAGCCACGTGGAGCACAGTTCTCATCTGCCACAGCTTGCTGAGAAGAGAAGAGGAGGAGAAGAGAAGAGAAGAGAAGAGAAGAGAAGAGAAGAGAAGAGAAGAGAAGAGAAGAGAAGAGAAAGAGAAAGAGAAAGAGAATATAGAAGAGAAAGAGAAGAGAAAGAGAAGAGAAGAGAAGAGAAGAGAAGAGAATATAGAAGAGAAGAGAAAGAGAAGAGAAAGAGAAGAGAATATAGAAGAGAAGAGAAGAGAATATAGAAGAGAAGAGAAGAGAAGAGAAGAGAAGAGAAGAGAAGAGAAGAGAATATAGAAGAGAAGAGAAAGAGAAGAGAATATAGAAGAGAATATAGAAGAGAAGAGAATATAGAAGAGAAGAGAAAGAGAAGAGAATATAGAAGAGAAGAGAAGAGAAGAGAAGAGAAGAGAAGAGAATATAGAATAGAACAGAATAGAATAGAATAGAATAGAATAGAATAGAATAGAATAGAATAGAATAATCACTAGTCTTGGAAAGGATCTCTAGGATCATCAAGTCCAACCTTCAATTAACACCTTCTAATGTGATGTTCATGAAGATCTGTCCAGCTCTGCATTAGAGACTAAAGCACTTCATGGTTTATAACTCAGCTGCTGGGAATAAATGCACAGAAATGGCCTGCTAGGGGGTATATTTTTTTAGACATGATTTTGGTGTTTTCCAGAACAATTCAGCAAAAATCCAAGAGTTAAAATGCTGTTGGTGTGAGTCAATGCCAAAGCCCCACCTTCCACTTTTGTTCCTGTTATCCTACAATGTAAAAGCTAAAATCCAACCTGAAACAAGTAGCAAAACATCATTTCCTAAGCTAGAGCATGAGCCACACCATGCTTTCATCTAAAATTACTGCATGCATTGACTTAGCTGGGGTTTTTTGGGTTTATTTGAGGGTTTTTTTAGTGTTTCACCCTTCACATATCTGAGGTTTATCCTTTTCTCCTTATGTAGTGGCAGGCAATTACTTTCCCTGCCTTGTACCCCACTTATCTCCCTAGTTTGAGGATTATTTCTCCCTTTACTACTAGGGGTCTGTTTAAAGATTGGTCTTTCTATCTCTTTCTTTAACCTCACAGTTCATCCCAGCTCCTCGTTTTCTTTTCCATATTTAGGATTCTCCTTTCAATCATCCAAGAGCTGCCAGAACTGGGAAAAAAAAATGGTTTCATCATTTCTCTGTTCCAGGGTGCTGTGACAGCTCCAGTTCAGGCCAGCCTGGGCTGGGGGGGGATTTATAGCCAAAATCTAATGTTACATTTAAACTTTTTCTTTTGTATTTATGGTTTAATCTGTCAAATATGCAGCATTAGCAGTATGATTTGCACCTCTTTATTTTACTCCTATTTCTTCACTTTTTAAAACTAAAATGATTTGTAGAATTCTCCCTTTTCCACCCCCCTTCCTATTCTGTAGCTGCTGCTGTGATTGAAAACAGGTTATTGCTTTATTATCCCATTTATCTTCCAGTCCCTGTCACACTACCAGGGCAGCTTACTTTGGTGAAGAAAACAGACTTGATTATTATTTCATTTCTCAAGAAGCCTTTGACAAGATGGTGAACACAGTAAGTACCTGACTAGTATCCCACTAGGCCTATTTCCTACACACAGAGTGAACTCAACTTTTTTTTGTCCAGGTCTAATTTTTTAGGGTTTTTTTTCCCTATATATTAAGTTTATGTCTATGTGCACATGCTTATTCACTCAGTTATAACAGTGGCTTAAGTTCATTAGCCAGAAACCACAAATTTGTTGTGCATTTATGCTGTCTTGTCTTCTCTATGAATGTACAGAAACCAGGAAATGGGCCTAATGGGCAGGAGGAATCTTTAAACAGGAGTATACTGTAGAAATAAACTTATTTCCATATCACAGAATTGGAGAATCAAAGAATGGTTTGGGTTGGAAGGGACAGTGTCAAAAAGTTCTTCCTTAGATCTAGTAAATCTTTGAGTTTCAAACCATCACACCCATTGTGTCCAACAGGCCCTGCTCCAAAGTCTGTCCCCAGCTTTCTGACAGCCCCCTTGAAGTCCTGAAAGGCCACCAGAAGGTCTTTTTGGAGCCTTCTCCAGGCCCAACTCTCCCAGCCTGACCTCCCAGCAGAAGGGTTCCAGCTCTCTGATCATCCTATATAAATATCTAGGGCTTGTGCAGGAAAGAAAAACTCTTGAAACAGCTGCCTCTTTTTGGTTTTATTTTCACCTTTTTTCAAACTCTTCCAGCAGGGATTTCAGTCTTTTAAAGTTTATCAAATTCACCCTCAAGGCATCGTGCTTCTCTCTGAAGGCACTTGTGCCTCCAGCCACTCTTTCTGATGCCCTTTGGTGCCTGCAAGAAAGCTTTGGCTTGGGAACCCACCACAGAGCTCCTTATTCCTACACAAACAGAGGAGCCAACACAGTCTGAAGCAACTGATCTGGTCCTTACTGATAACTCTCAGTGATCAAGCAGTTGAATTTTAAATGCCTATAATCTGCTTACATCTCTCTAGATGTCCTACTGGGAAGCAAAAATTCACTTGTCAGGGTTTGACTTTGAAATTTCTTGGCCAGTTAAACATTCCTCTTAGAGATTTGTTTCCCTGCTCCTTTTTCTTTGGCATCTTCTGTTTTCTGAGGCACAGCCATATGGTTTGCTGCAGTGTCACAAGAAGGATGGTCCTTGCTTTAGATCTTGCTTTGTTTATGGTGTGAATGAATAACCAAGGAAAGCTGCAACCTGTCAGCAGCTTGTTCTCAAGACCCTGGTGTTTTATCATCCATGACCAATGGAGAAGCCTCTATCCTGCTTTGCTTTGGGCTTTGGGCTCTTCTCTCCAAATCCTCTACTCCCTTTGTCCTTATGATGATGATTTAGGTAAGGAGAAACTATCTAGGGAGAGAGAGACAGGGAGTCCAGAGTGGTTCTGCTCCTTTAGGGAAGTTGTTTCCCTTAAAATTGGGCATGGACTCATTGGAGCAGGTCCAGAGGAAGGCCATGAATATGAGGGGAGGCCAGGCTGAGAGAGTTGGGCTTGGTCAGCCTGGAGAAGAAAAGGATCCAGGGAGACCTTCTTGGGGCCTTTCAGGACTATGAGAAAGATGAGGAGGGACTTTTTACAAGGGCTTGTAGTGATAGGACAAGGGGCAATGGTTGAAAACTGGAAGAGGGGAGAATAAGATTAGAAATTAAGAAGTTTTTCACTGTGAGGGTGGTGAGACCCTGGCCCAGGTTGCCCAGGGGAGCTGTGGATGTTCCATCACTGGAGGTTTTCCAGACCATGTTGGATTGTGCTCTGAGCAACCTGCTCTAGTGGGGGGTGTCCCTGCCCATGGCAGAGGGGGTGGAACTGGATGATCTTCAAGGTCCCTTCCAAACTGAACCATTCTGTGATTCCATGAAAATATTTCCTGGGTCATATTTGCTGTTTTGGATTTCAGGGCAAGTTTATAGCAACCTATCAATACAGTGGCTACTACTATGGACTTGGGAGAGACATTGTAGAATCAATTGCCAGAGAGGGTCTTGCAGCCTGTGTTCACTTAGAAGTTGAGGTAAGGATTCCTTACAGCTCAAGCATCTCTCCACTCTCTAGATGTGAAGCAACAGCACTCCCTTTACAGACACCCACATTGAGTCACATGGGTCCTTCTGATGGGTTCTTCAAATTTCCTGGTTTATTTTTTCAGTCTTCAGCAGCCTCATCTTGCCACCACATCACTAGGACTTGCCATGACATTGTCCTCAGCTTTTCAACCATGTGCTTTCCACCCACCTGCAGCTTACAGAGGAACTGGTCTGCAGTCATAGAATCATAGAATTGTTCTGGTTGGAAGAGACAAGATCTTCAAGTCCAACCATTAACCTGGTGATGCCAAGTCCATGACTAAACCATGTCCCTCAGCACCACGTCTCCACAGCCTTGACAAACCTTTCAGAGAAGAAATTGTTCCTCAGGGGCAACTGAAACCTCCCCTGGGGCAACTTGAGGCCCTTTCCTCTTGGCCTGTACCTTGGGAGCAGAGCCCGACCCCCCCCTGGCTCCAGGCTCCTGTCAGGAGCTGTGCAGAGCCAGAAGGTCTCCCCTGAGCCTCCTTTGCTCCAGGCTCAGCACCCCCAGCTCCCTCAGCTGCTCCTCCCCACACTTGGGCTCTAGACCCTTCCCCAGCAGCTCCGTTGCCCTTCTCTGGCCACGCTCCAGCCCCTCAAGGGCCTTCTGGGAGGGAGGGGCCCAAACCGGCCCCCAGGATTGGAGGGGCAGCCTCCCCAGTGCCCAGCCCAGGGGGACGATCCCTGCCCTACTCCTGCTGGCCACACCAGTGCTGGCCCAAGCCAGGATGACAGTGGCCTTCTTGGCCCCCTGGGCACACGCTGCCTCCTCTCCAGCTGCCTGTCCCCCAACCCCCCAGGGCCTTTTCCACCACTGCACACCTCCTGATCACCCCTGTAGGAATGCCATGCTTCTCCTCTGCTGGTGAGGCAGTTGGAGGATGCCTGCAGGCCTGAGGCAATATTTTGGGCAGGACTATTACAAGGTCTAATCTCTCTGAGGGATCCCTTGAGCCTCTCTGAGGTTTATCAGGTGCACATGCACAGAGGGCAGTGTCTCAGAAGTCATGCTGTGTTGGGAAACAAGGTCACAAACAAAGTGTGAGGCCCTATCTCTTGGAATCCCAAAAATGACATATTAGCTAGTTTTCTAATTATGTACTTATTATTTTAGATCAAGATTTTAGCTAGGGGTTGAGGTGGCAAAAAGAAAAGGCTTGCTACAGTTCCTTCCATATTCTTTCTACAAAATAAGCTCCATCTCTATGAGCTTCCAAAATGAGAGAGTCTACAGAGGGCCTGGAATGTGATCCTGAGTGTTGCTGGGTTCCCTGTGCTCACAGAGCTCAGCCCTGCCTCTTGGGGGTGACTACAGGTTAACTAACACTCCTACACTCATGAGAGATGGGGGAAAAAACTCACAGAGATAAAAAAGACATGTAGGGAACTGCAGTGCTAACATAGGGTCTGAAGCTGGGCATCCAGAGTTAGGAGAATGACTGAGGAGATGAGCAAAAAAATGATACTAAATTCAATTCATTTTAGGGTGACTATTTTGTGTGTGGAACTGATGATTGAAAAACTAGTTTTCAGTTCAGAACCTTCATGTTCCTGAGGAATTTTAGTCCCCTTTGGCCCAAATAAATCTGAAAAAAAATCAGAGAAGATTAATTATGCTGGAATGAGGTGCCTTGTAAAGCTGTCAGCTCTTCACAGAGGAGATGGGCTATCAAATAATTTAGGAGGAACAATGTTCCATGAAGTTCTGTTTATTCAGAAGGAGGTTAACCCAGCAACACCAGCATTGACCAGAACTTTTACTGGGTGGTGCCCAAGCTCCTGGACAGACAGCTGAGGAGCTCCTTGGTCACTGAGGTTCCAAGATCACACAGTAATTCTGTGTGGTCTGCTCTCACTGTGGGCTCTGCTAGCAGATGAGAAACAATAACAGTGAGTTATGAACCTGAATAGAAGTTATCCAAGCCCATTATCTTCTGTGAGGCTCCTAAGAAAAGTGATTTAGCACTATTAAAAGAAATTTTAATTACGGTCCGTGGGCCGAGGCTGAAAATTTAGAGCTGTTCATCCCCTTTCATCTGGAGTTTATCTTCCACTGCTAAAGGAGACTGACACACATTTTTAAAAGTTCCATCTTGCTGAGTCTGCAGCTGCAGGCAGTGAAGCTGCTGTGGCTCTGACACACACTTCTGCTGGAGTCAGCACGTTTGCAGTGTGACCATCAAGTTCCAACCAGGGGTGTAGTGACTTCCAGAGTCACAGAATGGTGGGGTTGGGAGAGGCCTACTGGAGATCATCTCATCCAACCCCCCCTTCTAAAGCAGGGTCACCCACAGCAGGGTGCCCAGGATCACATCCAGGTGGGTTTTGAGTGAATCCAGAGCAGGACAGAGAGAGGACAAGGCAGCTTTGTTACCCTTTGGACACACTGCAGGAACTCAAGGTCCTCCTTGGAGTGAGGGGCTCAAAACTGAGCCCAGGATTCAAGGTGTGGTCTCCTCAGTGCTGAATCCAGCTGGACAATCCCTGCCCTGCTCCTGCTGGCCACAGCAATGCTGAGAGAAAAATTCATTCCATGTTGTGCCCTTCATCTGTGTTCAATACCATTTCTTCTTGCTGCCTCTAAAACCACCTTTCTCCAGCTCCAGGCCTCCATTTTCTAACTGACCATTGCTGAGGTGTTTATACTTGTGTCTAGTGTCAAGATTATGCCCATCTCTTATCATCCCCTCCCTGTAGTCCTCTCCATTGTGTTTCAGCTTCTCAAGGTCTTTGCTATCATGCCAGACCTGTATTTATCTACACTGTGTTATTGAGTCATAAACATCTCATTCTACCTGGGACAACCTATCATAAACCTGTGGCTGCACCTCACAAAGATCAAACAATTAGCTGTAGACACCCAGTCAACAAGAGAAACTGCCACAGCTGAACCAAGTAAAACAACATTTCAGCCAAGCCAAGAGAAGTTCAAAGCAACATCCAGCATTACCTTGGTCTTGATGATCTTGAAGGTCTCTTCCAACCAGAACAATTCTGTGATTGCAAGGTGCTCCAGGAAAAGAATCAGGCCTCTATCTCAATGGCTTGGCACAGTTTCACTGAGGAAAAATCCACCAGCTGAGGAGAAAACTGTCAGGTTTTGCATGGTGGGAAGCTAAGGGCCAAGGTGCTGCTGCAGGTAAGTTGTCCTGTGTGTCAGTAGAATAGTGTGAGCCACACATTTCAAGTGACTAGGTCCTCCTGGGATAGAAAGGATGGAAGAGAAGGAAAAGCCCTGAACTGGTGGGCATGAGAAATGTGGTGTTTGAAATCCCTGTGGAACTGGAATGGAAGGATTCTTTCAAAAGTGTGTTTAGAATAAAGTTATGCTGTTATAACACTCTCCATGTGCAGCTTTAGGGCACTTCACCTTGAACTTGTCTCTTCTGTGAAGCTGGATGCTAGATGTGGAGAGCTGTAGATTGGATACAAGTCTCCAGCCCTGGATTTTGTGATAGATATGGAATTGTCCTAAAAGAAGTCCAACAGACATTGAGTTTCAGCCACAAAACATTCCATTTCTCTCCTTATTTTTCAAGGGTGTTCGTAGCTTGAAAAAAACCTCCTTTAAACCCAGATATATCCTCTTGGTACCCATGAACAAAGAAAACTATGAGGGACATCTGAGGAGGACAGGATTTGTCAGCAGGCCAGAGATTGAAGAAGCAGTCTCCAGAGTGGACATGTATGTCCACATGAGTCAGGAGCTCCCAGGATACTTTGATGCAGTCGTCAACACAGGTGAGTTCACCTCTTTCATGCCATAAAGCTGACCTCTAATGGTCCACCAAGAGATGGACTGAAAGCACCAGGCAAACAAAGCCACTGGTAAATGGGGAACTAAGGATGACAAATGGTTTAATGCTCAACATAACAGTTTAATTCACAGTTTCTAATTCCCTTAATTCATAGGATCATAGAATGACAGGTTGGAAGGGACCTCAATGATCATCTGGTCCAACCTTCCTTGGCAAAAGCCTGCTCTAGACAAGGTGGCCCAGCTGAACCTTCAAAGTGTCCAGTGTTGGGGAATCCACCACTTCCCTGGGGAGGTTATTCCCATGGCTGATGGTTCTTGTGAAAAATGTCTGATTTTACTACTTAATCCTTGTCCCAGGAATCACAGAATCACTATGGTTGGAAAGGACCTCTAGGATCATCACATCCAACCTTCATCCCAACATCTCCCTAAAATCTGAAAGAATCTAAAAAGATTCTAAAGAATCTAAAAGAATCTAAAAAGATTCTAAAGAATCTAAAAGCTCTGGAGATCTGCTAGGGCTGAATCTCTCTCCTGTGTCCAAGTTGTGCTTTAAGCTCAACTAGGAAGTGAAACCCAACTACTGAACTCAGCAGAACACTTGGGGAAGAACATGAAACTGATCCATGCTAGCTGTTGATTTCTGGGGTGGGTCAGAAGTGCTCTAGATCTAACAGACCTTCTTATCTCTGGGCAGGGGAGGGTTTTTTCAAGTGTTGAGGTCACAGCTGATGTGCAGTCTGGCAACATCTCCCTCTAAAGGTCCTGCAAAGCTTTTCCTTGTAGGACTTTTCTCCTTGGTCACTTGCTCAAGCCCCTCAGCCTGAAGCAAGGAATGTGAGGGTGGTAATTTTATTGAAACAAATGTCTGCTTCTTGATATTTAGGAATTGAAGATAGTGAGTGGCAGAGAAGATTCCTCTTCTAGTTTGTTCTGTCTCTACCATTTTGTGGAGGTAATTCCAGAAATCCCAGCATGGTGGGGTTGGACCTCTGGAGATCATCTGGTCCAGCTCCAGCAGGGTGCCCAGGGTCACAGCCAGTTGGGTTTGGGATCTCTCCAGAGCAGGAGACTCCACAGCCTCTCTGGGCAGCTGCTCCAGGCCACCCTCCCACCAAAGTTTCTCTTCCTCTTCAGAAGGAACCTTCTGGGTTCCAGTTTGTGTCTGTTAGTTTTGTGGCTCACCACAGTGATGGTGAAATGGATCATTCTGCTATGAAATGCTGTATTTATAATTATTGTCCATATGCTGCTGGCCATTTCACTACAGCATTAAAGAAATAAACCACAGTCAACCAAACTGCAGGAGGAGAATATGCAGGTGAGTGCAGGAACAGAGATGAAATTCAGGTTGTTTTCTTGAGTGTGCTGTTTATGCAGGTGAAGATTTTTCTCCCCCAAAGAGATGAGCTGGATGAGTTAAGGAAGCATTTCTGTGTCAAACTGCTGTGATTTGTGACTTGGTACTCAAGAAAGCTTGGGTTTTGGTTCACTAAGTGTCCTTCCTCTCCACCATGAAATGCATATCCCTTTCTGCAGATGAACTGGATGAGGCCTTCACAGAGCTGAGCTTCCTCATAAAGGCATACCTGGGTTTGGAGCCACCTCAGGCTGCTGAGGGCATCCAGGATGTGACCAGCAGAGCAGGAGCAGGTACAGTGTCTGGACTGGTTCTGTTAGAGTGTTCCTACTTGGTTGTTCCAAGAACTGAAATCTGTGAGTGATGCAACCCCTGAGACTGCTCATCTCTGAAAACTCAACTCTGTAGTGGGTCTCCTGGGCTGACTCCTCCCTGAGATCTGGATCTTTAATGGAGATTTCTCCAGGTACTTCAGTCACCCTGTGCCCTGAGGCAATAACAAGCAGGAAGTGAGTTGCCTGACTCTTCTGAAGGTACTTTTGGGATGAGGATCTCCCACTGACTCCAGATGAATCACACACAAGAGATGTGTCTGTGCCTGAGAGCTTTGTGCCTGGCAAAGTGTTGGCCAACAGGAGAAGGGTGTGGCACTGAGACAGGATCAGAGAATCACAGAGTGGTAGCTTGAATCTCCAGAGGATGAGTTACAGAGCCTGGTGCTCAAGCTGTCTGCTCAACTAACATGCATTTGACTTAAACTGTAGGATCTCACACTCCCCCCACCCCCTAGTTTTCTCCTGGCTTGAGTGCAGCCCCAATGGAGAACATCTGAGATGCCTTTCACAGAATCACAGAGTGGTAGGGGCTGGAAGGGACCTCTGGAGATCATCTGGTCCAACCCCCCTGCTCCAGCAGCTCACCCCCAGCAGGGTGCCCAGGGTCACACCAGCCACGTTTGGGATCTCTCCAAAGCAGAAGACTCCCCAGCCTCTCGGGGCAGCTGCTCCAGGCTCGGCCCCCCGCCCCCCAAAGAAGTTTCTCCTCCTGCTCAGGGGGCACCTCCTGGGTTCCAGCTGGTGCCCGTTGCCCCTTGGCCGGTGGCGGGGCACCACTGAGCAGAGTCTGGCCCCAGCCTCTTGCCCCCCGGGGCCCTTTAGCTCTTGCTCAGCACTGCTCAGATCCCCTCTGAGGCTTCTCTTCTCCAGCTCAGCAGCCCCAGGGCTCTCAGCCTGGCCTGGCACAGAGATGCTCCAGCCCCTCAGCAGCTTCACAGCCCCCACTGGACTCTCTCCAGTAGCTCCTGGTCTCTCTTGACCTGGGGAGCCCAGAACTGGACCCAGTACTCCTGAGGTGGCCTCACTAGGGCAGAGTAGAGGGGGAGGAGAACCTGCCTTGGTCTGCTGCTGACCACACTCTGCGTCATACACCCCAGGAGACCTTTGGCCTTCTGGGCCATGAGGGCCCATTGCTGGCTCATGGTGAACTTACTGTCCAAGAGGTTTATGAAAACCAGGATGGTAAGATCAGTGAAAGCAACTTAGAAGTTCACTCCAAGGGCTTTTATGACTACCCACTGTGGGGCAAACCCAAATGTGTGTTTGTCAGAAGCCTTTTAGCCCTTCAGTGACTAGTGCTTGAGCCTCATGATCCCTTCCAGCTAATCCAAGCACATGCTCATGCCCAACTTACCTTTCCTGCCTACACGTTTCCAGTGTGCTCCTGGCTCTCATTCTTCTGATTGTGAAGCAGTTTCATCTGGAGTGTTTCCATCCAAAAACCATCCTAGGAGAAAAACCCAGCACATCAATTCCTTGGGCAAAGCCATCACTCAGCTCTAGGCTTGGCCCAAGGAGGGAAGGATGGGGGAGAAGAGCTTCATGGCTGCCTGTGGAGGAAGAAAGGAGGATACTCTTGTCAGAGCCACCAAAACTAATATTAGTTGGACATATTGTGAGAGCTCAGTTGTAACCCTTGAATTTATTCCAGCTAGGGCAGGTTACCAGCTGGGATGAAAGCAGAATATGATCTTTAAAACCCTGGAGGGAAAGGAATAAGAAACAGGCATTACAGAACTAAGAGGTTGTGCAACGTGGACTCAGAAGCTGCTCATTTATGTGACCTCTAACTCCAAGAGCCTCCATGGTTTGTGGCTGCCCTGGTTAGATCCATCCCAACAGGAGGGTTCATGAAGTTCCTAAGGAACCCAGAGCCACTCTTCACAACCTTCTCTGTGCCTCAGAAGGCTGCAAATAAAAGTAGCTGAAGAGAGGAGAAAAATATCCCAAAATGTTAACGAAGGGTAGTGTAAAATTCATCAGTTCATCATTTCAAGTAATTTTGTGTCCTGAAAGAATTAATAAATCCTGATTTCCCAGTGGACAAGAAAAAAGCTTCCACACATATTGTGGCGTCTCGGTGCTGCACCAGTGAGGATCTGTCTGAAGAATCTTATTTAATCTTGAACTATGTCAATTATGTTTTCATTTCCAGAGCCTCCACGTTGGTTTGAAGTGAGAGAGAAAACTTCCTTGCCTGATTTGCTGTAATATTGTTACTTATTTGCCTTAAAAACACCAGAGACCTTCTGTCCTGAGAGGCAACAGAACCCACCAAACCCTAACCAAGTTATCAGGAAAGAAGAAAAAAGGGGGAGGACTAGAAATAAGATATTTGTATATAATCCTGGTATTTTTGAATAGATCTATATGTATCTGAAGTTCCTCCAGAGGACTTTGTGTCCCTCAGCAGCTGAGTTCTTTCAGTGAGTGACTCGTCGCCAGAAACTTCCTTAACAGGACTAGATTTGGGAAATTCTGCTCTCCATAAAGCAGCTTTTAAATTTACTATCTGCCATTAAATTCATTTAGAGCTTCATTTAGAGGTGTTTAAATAAATTTAACTACCCTATTTCGAGAGAGCCTCTCCTCCTACAGACTGTGTGAAATAATTTATGTCAAAAAGAAACTTGCCCCAAGGTTGTCTTTAATATGGACATTTTTAGTGAGATAGGAGCAGGGGGAAGATTGGTTGTGTGGAATTATGATGGGGTGTTAATTCCTTTTTTTTTTTAATGAACTGCTGTGCAAGAACTTTTGCTCTTGTATAGAGTAAAAATCCTGGGAAGAAAATAGATAAATTCTGTTTAAAAACTTTTTCTAGCAGAAGCAGAATACATTTCAGAGCTGATAACACCTTGTACTTGCAATAGCTGCTTTCATTCACAGAACTCAGTATTTTACAGCTACTAATTGTATCTCACAGCAGTCCTGTGGAGGATTTTTTTCTACTATTTGTCTTCTACAAATGAGGAGAGGGACATTTGTGCCAAAGGCTGATGGTTGGTGATGCTGAGCATCAGGAATCCCACTGAAGTTTTGGCAGTGAGGCTCTGCCCCTCTGAAGGTTTGACTCTAGTGCTCACTGTCCCTGAAACAGAACCCACCAATCCTCAGTCTCATCTCCTCTGTTCTTAACACCACATCTTCTGGCAGCTACAAACCAGCAGTACATAAAAGTCTCAAAGTCCTCTGATGAGCCTTGAAGCTTTTTTTATAATATACCACAAAAAAAAAGGAGCATATTTACTATATAAACATGCATAAACCTTCTGAAAAAAGTGAGTTAGGTGTTGTCTTCAGCTCTCTGCTTCACATCCATGTTTGATTCCTTGCAAGGCAGCTGTGCTGCAAGTCTTTGGATTTCTGTTTGCAGAAATTGAGATAAAGAACAGAAAAAAAAGGTGCCTGGCTCCAACACATTCCAAGAGCTCTGAGAAGGTTAAAACTTCTAAGTAGGTAGAGTGTAATTAGCTCAGAGGTCGTTCCAGTGGTGCATATCAGAGCATCCATAACAACATGAGAAACAACATTCATTTCACACACAATCCCAGCTTGATAGGGCTGGAAGGGACCTCTGGGGATCATCTCATCCCACCCCCTGCTCCAGCAGCTCACCCCCAGCAGGGTGCCCAGGGTCACACCAGCCACGTTTGGGATCTCTCCAGAGCAGGAGACTCCACAACCTTTCACAAGATTAAGCAGCTTTTCCTAGGCCATTAAGGGTGATTTTGAAAGCATTTTTTCATAACTTTCCTTTGCCTAAGCTAGTGAGGTGAGATAAATTTATTCTATCTGTGAACTACTTGGAAGGTTGAGAAGCCTTTTGGGAACTGCATCATTTATATGCTCTGTAACTTCCCCAGTTCTCTGCTGTGACTGCAGAACTGTGGCAGCTGATGCTGGATGCAAGGCACTGCCTTAGTGTCTCTCTGCTTGCTGGAAGCAAAGTGGTGCTGGGAATATTTTTGCTGAGAAGTGTTGTTTCCACCCTAGGTTCCAGAACAAGGTTCTTGCAAGAGCAGAGACTGTCACCCCGAGGAGAAATTACTGCAACACCTTGGCCCTCATCTGTCAGTGAGTTCTTGGACACTTCTGCCAAAAACTATCCAGGAGGCATCTCAGAGAAACTTGCTGCACACATACTCTCTGTGGTAAGCAGCATTCACTCTTAGCCAGACCTTTCCTTCTCCAGAGCAGGTTGGCACCTACCCTCTGACTGTCTCACCTCAGCAATATCTCCCAGTGCCCAGAGCTGGAGGCAGAGTGATGAGAGTGAGGCAGGTAACCTCAGATGAGAGGCTGAGCTCTTGTTCTGCTCAGTTTTACACCAAAATAAATCTGTTGATTGTAACTGATTTCATAGAATCATTTTGGTTGGAAGA